CCCCCCTCCCCCCCCAATGTTGATGCCTTCGCGACATCCCTCAGAGCCATTGCAGTAAATTCTCCTGTTTTCATGCCCATGAATTGCCATGCCCGCAGACATTCAGGAAATTACGCCGAAGCTAAAAATATTTTTAATTCAAGTACCGACTGCTTTCGAAACATTTTAATTTGCCGAATTTTGAAGATAAGAAGATACTGCTCCCTATAACCGAAGTTGTTTTTTCACAATAATTTTAGGTTACTTTGTAAAGATATTCGTATTTCGTTGTCAAAATCTAAACCAATGTTATTAGCTATTTAAGAATTTAATTAATCTAAAACTTATATTATCTACAATTTGAGTTGCCTCACGAGCGCAATATAAAGGAATAAAGGAATTACAAGATTTTTCTGTTTGTTCTGAGATTATCACTGAATTTTTTGGAGACATTAGTTCCTACTTTAACTTGTGATCATTATTTTCTTCGATTGATGAAAATAGTTTTATATGGCCTACTCTGGGATCTAAACTGGCCTTAAATCGCCTAAAATCGCGGATTAAAATTGTCAATTCTTTCGTCTAATGCCTGTTCAACTTTGCCCGATTTGTTACTTCCGTGATATACGCCAAATCAGGGTGAACAATCGTGATGCTCGTTTCTGGATACTTTTAATTTCTAGTTAGGGAGACTTGATGAAAAACTTGACAAGCCGGCCTCCATAGCCAAATTATCTCGAATATGAAGTAAAAGCCCCAATGAACGGCCCTAACTTTGCTTAATATTATTATAATCTCATTAAACACGCTATAGTTCTGGCTCATTGTGGTGCGGACGAATTGCACCGGAACATTTTGAAAACGATGATGTAAATTGATCAGAATTTAGATCCACCCACGCTAATACACATAATCCAGTCTACACTCAACACGCTCATGCGTAGTATCCAGTAGTCGCCATATATCTTGGTTTATCCAATGTATTACGTCTTTGACTAATTTTAACATTACGTCATTTTAACTGTCGCTGATTGGCTAAAGGTTACAGCTAATTAACAGCTACCAAAAAGGTAGCATTGTATCTGCTGCGCGGATTCAAAAACACACATCATTTCTGTAAGACGTCTGACAAATACAGTCATTTAAAATCGGCTCCTTTCGAAAAATTCTACACACAATGCTGACGGTGTTCGTAGTGTTGTTCCAACTTTCCAGTTGCTACGCACTTGGGATTTCGGGTGCGGATTTGCCAGGGAAACGACTACAAAACCACGGCGAAATTCACAAGGCGAAAAATCTAATCGATGCATTATCGTTTAAACTCCATACCAAGTTCGAAAAGTTCACGTTGCAATCGAACGAGAATTTGGTGCAAAGTGCCTCAATTCGAGACGAACTCAAGATGCTGAACAAGTTGAAGGGACTTCTCAATGATCTTCTGAATAAAAGTTCCGTCTGCGAAAAGTTCTACACAAATTTTGATTTCACCGCTGCTCGTGAAATTTTGATAGATTCCAGCGCGTCATTACAAAAAGATTATACTGTTGCATTACAAGGTATTGTGATTATTGTCGATCAGTCTATAGAACAGTTTTTAATGTTTTAAAGTCTTTAGATAGACTTCTTGATTCTTATCATTATTATGCTTGATGGCGTGTGGTTAGTTTAAGCCAAAACTTACGCCGTTTCAATGGAAAAGCTGCTTCAGTAAGAGCTATATAATCTTGTTGTTGTTGTTCCTACAGTAGGAAACTAGAATACTCGGAGAAAATATGCGTTGTAAATATACAAGGAAACCAAATGAATTGGTAAACGCCGTTTCCGTGTTCAGCACTGGCTAAGTAATGAGGCATGACTATCAAATCACGACTAGCATCTAAATTAATTATTATAAGTAATAGAATGCACAGTCAACATTAACCTGGTCTTCAATTCTGATTCAAGCATTACTGGCCAGCCTGGTACCCGGCTCTATACTCTGTATGAACAGCGAGGACGTTATTCTACGACTTCAAGACGCCATCGAGCCACGATAATGACCTAAATTATGCATGCAAATATCGCATCATTGAATGCGCCGACAATAGTGTAATACATAACCGCTTAACCGAAAATTTAAAACCTTGATTCGATATATCCGTATGGGGAACTAGTGTAAGAAATACGGGAAATTATACGAGGAAAGTTATTCCGGACATGGACATGACAACCATGGAAAGTGATGGAGAAGCCAAATTAAACAGTGACGACGAATTCGGCAAAGAATAGTCGCCTAAAGCAAGAAGGAAACTAAATTTGAGTCCTCAAACTCTTGGAAAATAAAACGATATGAATGTTCTCTTTATATTATTGTACATTGAAGTTGCTGCATGCGTTTTGATTGGTTAATAGCTTACAGCTAAATATGGCAATGTTGAGCCAACGGTATGTAATTTTATAGCATACGAATACATATTTCTCGTCTCTGTGGTAAAAGCATGTGCGTGACGTCACTAAGTACATGTTAGGAGAATTTCAATGTCGATCTTTTCAGTAAAATTGTTTACTATGTAATATCATATTACCCAACCCAATCCCAGGCATGAATATTGAATGTTCCCTCATCAATCGTTTTCAGTGAACCACCGTGAGTTGATCGACAATAATCTGGCGCTGGCAAACGGTAACGACTTAAGGGTGTATTTCCGAAAAGATAAAGACTGCAGACCAAGAGAAATTGATCGAGTCTTGGAAAATAATGCCACAACGAAGACAAGAGTGCTGTTCAAACTTCAAGAAGACTTGAGCAAAACTGTTCGTGATGGATCCGCTTACTACTTGGTTTATGGTAACGTCATTATACAAATTTATCCGTCAAGATTTACAATCAGCGCATGCGTAGTTCGTCTTAGAGGATGAACGTCGGAATGAGGATGAACGTCAGAGGAATTATCAAACGAACTACTTTCCGACCGGAAACGAACTACTTTCCGGCCTAAAGGCCTTGCTGCGTTTTTAGGTGCGATTTCGTCGTCTGATTCATGTGGACGAGTAGATTAGTTGTAAATGTTTTGAATATGAATATTCATAACTCACATACTCATTCACACCCATGAGCTTGAAAAGTCTGAAATGATACAATGAATATTTGTACCCTATAAGATATTATTTTATCACTTTTAAACATTTTGTCGAACACGTCCAATTCATGCAAACTGCGCAAAAAATACGAAATCCTCAATTCAAATATTTTAAAGAGGAGATTCATAGCTTCCCATGTGCGATATGTAGCCATGTAGACTTGCCCCAAGTCGACTTGTGCTAACTAAGTTGAATCGCGTACTAATCAGTCGAAACACGTACTAACGACGAAGTCGCGAAGCCCGCGAGAGGGCGAGCGAGCGAGCGGACTTTGAGAAAGTCTAGTAGCCATGCATAATATTTTACAGATTCTATATTTTTCCAGGAAACAAAGACGCCGGCAAAGCAAAGCAAAATCCAGAAAATGTCTACTTATTCTACGACGATTTCTCCGACTCAATCCTGGAGAAAAAGTGGCAGAAAAACTGGGGCGATATTCGTGTAGAAAACGGTGTGTTGAAATTGAGAACTCGCCAAACGCCAACCCGCGATAACGGCGAAATTTCAGTGTTTATCAAACACGGCCATGAATGGGAAGATATCGAAGTAGAACTAGACTTTAACGAAAGAAATACCGGGCCACAATACCCAGGGCCATTTTTGAGAGTTCAGGACGCGAGAATTCAGAGCACCACTGCGTGGTGGTTTGAATATCAAACAGGAAGCAAATATTGTACCATGAGACCCTTCAAGAATAACAAGGACGGAAGTTGGTTATACCGGGGCACCTTAACTAAACCGCTGTCTGCAGGATCATGGTATCACGCTAAATATCGAGTAGTTGGTGACAGGTTTGTATCCTATTATTTTTGTATCCAGTAAAACACGCATAAAAGAACAGCATTGCACTACATAATAATTGCTATTTAAAAACCTCCGAATTTGATAAAATGTATCCTCGTTGAGTACCAAACAACTTTTTGCATTTGCAATGATATTAAATCAAACATATAGCTGCCAATACCTTGGCCTTAGAATATGCATCGTAAAAGTTTTTAAGACCAGTCTCACTTGTCAGTCTGAAGTGCTTCTTGAATTTTGGGTGCTCAGTTCCACTGGTTCTTTTATGTGGTTGTATCAATCCCCACTTACTGGATTTCGAAGTAAAGGCCTGTCCACAAAATACGTGCCGTTTTGAGGGAGGAAAGTTGGGTGCTTAAATTAAACAAGAGTTACATATTGTCGGAAGGGGGAAAGCTGGCTAATAATTGACTCAGAGTGACGTAATTTTCAAAATGGGGTAATAAAAACGGTCACATTGCGTCATAGGGAGGTTAGGGGGAGGGAACAATCGTCAAAAAAGCTTCACGTATTTTGTTAAAGATCTGTCTAGTATAATTAAGATATTTTAGTTAAGATTTAGTGGCTTATCTTTGCTGTCTAGGTTTTCGCACTGGGTGAACAACCAGCTCATTCACAACAATGTAAAGGTTTCCCGACAGTGGATGATTACAAAAGGCACCTTGGGTTTGGGTTGTCATAAGAGTAATATTGGATGTCACACATTTTATGATAACATCAAAATAACAAAATATGTCCCTGTTTCTGTATCTGTATCTCTAGGTAAGTTCCACAGTGTAGGTTGATAAATACGGACCGCGTAAGCATGTACTGCGACGCGATGACGACAGCTAATAACAAACTTTTTCAAATAAATTATTGTATTATTGAATAAACGTTCTTTGCAGGGGCGTGGCTGGGGGGGGGGGCTTGGGGGTGCGACGCCCCCCAATAATAGAGGGGTGTGGGGTGTTACACCTCATAATTTTGAGAAATGTCCAAAAAGTTGGTCCCAAGCGGACAATTTTGTCGGTCCCGATCGTCCGGTATAAACATTACGCAAACTGGTTGTTTCCATTTCGTGTCCAAATAAATTAATAAATTTTGAAAGGTTATAAAATGTTTATTGCCAAAACTATTTGAATCAGCATCGTTTCTGTGCTCCATATATACCGAGTTGGTCTACCAATTTAGTTTGAAAAGGACCGAACGAAAGAGGTAAATGAGACTCTGAAAATAGCATTTTCGACGATCTAGTAGGGACTTCAATTTTGCAAAATTTTTTTGACCTTCGCACTTTTTATACAATCACCTTTCAAGTATCACAGAGATATATAAACGTAATCGTGGACAGAAACATTGATCGTAAATGGTTCCGGCACACTAAAGAAATGCCATTTCGAAGATTCGAACGTCAATGCAATTCCCCCTAGATATCCGCGTCGCTTCCAAATGTAAACACGTAAAAGTTGGTCCCGAAATATTTTACACCCCGCCCTAAAAAATATTTTGGGATGTGCGCCCCTGCGCAGAGATACTCGAAATGCTCTGGACTGCACATTTAACAAGCAGCCACGATCATCTCCCTATACTGTATATAGTCGAATGAATCTATATATTAAAGAATTATATAGTTTGAATAAATATACCGAGTGTATTTTTGATTAATAATTATAGTTAAACATTCATCGTTAGCTGATTACGTATGATTAATATCGTGCAGATTACATGAATATACAGATTTGCGTGAACTCCCCCAAAGACCAAATAACTCAAAATGTTATAGTGCTTCAAATATTTGGAAAATTTAAACTAGGATCAAAGTTATCGGTCAGTGAAAAATCGATGAAATCGCGTCGCGTTGACGAATCGCGTCCGGTGTGTCTGGACCTCTAGTGTTCGCATTTCGGCTTACAAATATCGAAAGTTTTGCCAAATAAATAAACTCTGTGTCGTCCCCAGTCGCTTGCTCAGTAGAGATCAGTGGCCGATAGAAATAAGTGAGAGACATAAAAACAAAGATAGGAAGGGGAGAAAGGCCGAAGCCTCACTTAAATTTTCATAGCGCCCACACACGGTCGAGTGATAACAACGAATAACATTCGTACATCTCTAGGAACTGAATGCAAAGTTGATCTAAAGAAGTTTCACGGGTTGGGCACATCCGAAAAGAATCCTGCAACATCTTGCAAGCAAATACATGATGTGTCGTTGAAAGATGGAAAATTAGACAATGGCGTGTATTGGATCAAGACATCCGCTGACCGCTCCGTACGGACTTACTGTGATCTCACAAATGGTGGGTGGACATTGGTGGGAAAGGTCAGCGGTTTCGTCAACAAACTGTATAAGTTTTGGTTGATAAAGAATTATAAGGTGGTGGCATTGAATAATCCTGCTTTGCCAAGGTATATATACCTTACATATATGCATGCCAGAGTGTAGAATAACTCAGCTAGACTAATTCTAGCTAGGAGGAATGCTCCCTGGAAAATTTTGAAATCTGAGATGGCATTTTTTGTGTTCTGAAGATTTGACGTCAGAACCTATGTCATTTTCTTCATCAGGCAGTGAAGAGTTGTTTATTTTTTATTATAGCAAAGTTGGCTGCATCAATGCGCGTTACCTAGCAACCTATCACGCGTCAACTGTGATGTTTTCCAGCGGTGATAACCAAAATGGTATCGGTTCAAAGTGGGTGCAATGGCCGCTACCTCAAGGACGAAAAAGCGACAGCCTCTGGACACACAGTGTTGGTAGAACGACTGTATCCAAAGCGAGGATGTATCCCGTCACCGTTAAAGCCTGGAACGGAAAGGAACAGGTTTGATACACTAGATGTAAAGTAGATAAGTTTGGTTTATTACTCTGGTCCCATGCAAATGGGATCAGAGGATTTAAAATGAATAGCTTTCCTTGGGGAAAGGGGGGGGGGGGGGGGGGGGGGGGCACAAGCTAGCATTTCCCCACTTTCACAGAAGGCAACTGATTTTCACATCACTCACCTATTCAAAATGGTTTCATTGCAAGAGTGGGCGAGACATAGTTGCTAACTTTCGGAAAAGAGATTTGTAGGAAATTCGGGTTGTAGCTATAAACCCAAAAAGCCTACATCACATGCTAGAATAGAATAGAATAGAATAGAAAGAGACTGAAACTGACGTCCAATATATAGCTCTTCAATTTCCGTCATCTTCAGTTTTTCGATTCGAGATATGATATATGGAACCCACTGGTTTAATTTAACATACTGTACCATTTTCGATGCTGTTGTTCAATGGCTTTCGGATTTTCCCTGGCTGTTTTAGTGTGCCCACATCAGTAATATCAAGATACTCGATTTCTATACGTTAGGATATTTGAAGCTGGCAATTAAGAACTTACCCTTATATAAATAAATACGCTGGATAGTTGTGTGATAATTAATAATGGAGAAATTGGCAACGCTAGAGGACTAAAACTTTTTTTTCACTTTTTTTCATAGGTATGCTACCAAAACAAATATGGAATCTTGCCTCTATCTTATCATGGCGGCTCCTATCCCTCGGCTACACATAACACAGCAGGAAATACGCGCGTCAAAGATTACTGCATGTCTGTTGGCGTGCAGAAAACGGGAACAACTGCTGATGGATGGACTCAGAATGGCAACGGATATGACTCAGCTAGGAGCGATTCTGATTGGCCAAATTCTCAGTACAACCATGTATCGCCGTATGTTACAGTGTGGTTAAAATGAAGTTACAAAAACATCAAACGGTTTCTTGTTATGTTTAATCAACGTGGACATATATCAACCCATTCAGCATGCGCTGTCAATGCCTATACTATACTACCGTTAAAACATGTCTATTATTCCAGCATTATAATAAAATTTTTCAAATAATTTTGCAATTGCGTGCTGTTTTCTCATTTAAAAATACGATTCATTGTGTGAAATAAATGAGGACGATCAGACTTTGCAAGAACGTGCGTTGAAGGCCTCGTACGATTCATTGTGTGAAATAAATGAGGACGATCAGACTTTGCAAGAACGTGCGTTGAAGGCCTCGTACATGTATAGATGAAATTTCTGGTGTGAATTTTTATATATTTTTTCAAGCTAACAAGTCCTCTGGCTTACATGAATGGAACATGCGGCCCGGCGATTCCGGTGCGGCGCTCCAACCAACCGAGTCACAAAGTCCAGTACGTTAAGTTGTAGAGCTCTGACCGCAAGTTCATGTAACTAAATTAAGATGATGCTTGTGTACTGTAGCTCAGTTGGTTAGAAGGCAGCATCGGAATCGCAGGGTCGACAGTTGCTCTTGCTTAGGTCTAAGAATGTATAAAATTTACACTCAAAATTTTGCACCTACAAAACTCTCCAACATTTAGTAGCTCAATAGAGACGCTTTCAGTGGTCCCCGTTTTTCTTTTTCAGAATCTTTTATACTGAGTAAAAATACATCGAAATAGTAAAAGTTCACGCTACAATCTATTATCAATCTTCATTCATTATATCATTACACTATATCAGTCTAATAAATTTTATTATTCTCGTAATAAATGTTTTGAACTTTAATAAATTTCGTGGCCACATGTCCGCCTGTTCGCATGTCCGCGTTTCTGCATGTCCGCGTTTTCCACCTAACCGATTGTCTTTGCATAAAGAGGGTAAAATGGACGTCAGTGAATCTACCCCCTGCTGCCGTGCTTGATACGCCAACGTTAATGAACAGGAAGAAACACGAATGAGCAAGATTACGGAAACACTGAAAACCATACGGCCATACACATCATTTCTTTAATACTTACAGTACTTCTGTTCAGTAGGGTCGTTCAAAATGAGCTCCTGTCATAAAATTCAACACATGATGTTGACAGTATTCGTAGTGTTGTTCCAACTTTCCAGTTGCTACGCACTGGGGCGTTCGGGTGCGTTTTTGCCAGGAAAACGACTACAAAACCACGGCGAAATTCACAAAGCGAAAAATCTAATCGATGTGTTATCTTTTAAACTCCATACCAAGTACGAAAAGCTCACGTTGCAATCGAACGAGAATTTGGTGCAAAGTGCGTCAATTCGAGACGAAATCAAGATGCTGAACAAGTTGAAGGGACTTCTCAATGATCTTCTGAATAAGAGTTCCGTTTGCGAAAAGTTCTACACAAATTTTGATTTCACCGCTGCTCGTGAAATAATGATAGATTCCAGCGCGTCCTTACAGAAAGATTACACTGTTGCAGTACAAGGTATTGTGACTATTGTCTATCAGTCTATGGAACAGTTCTTAATGTTTTAAAGTCTTTAGATAGACTTCTTGATGCTTATCATTATTAACATTATACTCTGTTTCAATGGAAAAGCTGGTTCAGCCAAGCTGTATAACCTTGTCGTTGTTGTATAACCAATGACGTTGCTACAGTTACAGTTTTGAGAATTTTAGTTGCTACAAAACTATAATACAAAGCAAGAGAAAATATAAAACCGCAAGCAGTACTGTATAATCATGTTGGAGGCTAGATTTCAATTTTCGCTTCGTCTGCATGATTTCGATTTGTGCTCAGACGGCACGCGTTTGCGAATGTTGTGCGGAGAATAGTGCCCTCCAGATTCTATCAAACAACGCATATTTTTTCCGAGTATTATAGTTTCCTAACGCAGCAAAACATGCAAATCTAAATATATTGCATGGTAAAAACATGTAAGGGATTGGGAACCAAACGAATTCTTGCTGAAGCCTGAGCACAAACGCCATTTCCGTGTTCAGCGCTGGCTAATGAGGCATGGCTATACAAGCCAATCAAATCAAATCAAATCAAATCACGACCAGCAACTAAATTATAGTGACAATAGAATGTACATTCAACATCAACCTCTCTTTCAATTCTGATTCGAGCATTACTAGCCAGCCTACATGTGATACCCAGGCTTTATCACTCAGTTTGGGCAACGAGTGAATCCAAAATGCAAACTGGAGCAAGCGATGAAAGCCTGAACATTATTTGACGACTTCCAGACGGCATCCAGCCACGACCGAAATTATGCATGCATATATCGCATCATTGAACGCGAGACAATAGTGCAATACTGTATAAAACCGCCTAAATATTTAAATTACCTTGATTCGATATGTTCGTATGGGAAGCTATTTTGAATTCCCAGGATAAAATCTCGTTTAAATTAAAGGGAAATGGCAAAATATTTTTATTTTCTCATTTGAAAGAACTTTGAAGACTATATATAATACTCTTTTACCGTTTTTTCATATCTTGCTTACTTCTACAAATATTTTGATCGAAAGGAATGAAATGTCCGCCATCTTAAAGTTTTGTACATATGCATGTCACGTCACAACAGGTCTCAACACGTCACATCCATAGCTTAGTAGACATGTTTACTAATCATTTTGCACTCAAAACTATACTCTGTCTGCCCTTCGAAATATCAAGATCACTCAAAACCTTTAAAACACTTATCACTCAATATTTGGTCAGCAATGAATACTTTTATATGGTTAATCCCTGTTGTGAAGTCACCAAAACTACCAATTCTTTATTCTGTGCTACTGTTAAAGGCACAGTTCAGCCTTTTGAATGATGGTTTTTAAGGCGCATTTCAGCCTTTTTTTGACTTTTAATTGAAAAAAACTAACTAGGAAAATCAATTAAGCATAATTCAAGATCAGCAAACTTAATGTTTTTAACATCTTAAAACATTTTTATTGTTAAAAACATTGAGTTTACTGATATTGAATTATGCATAATTGATTTTCCTAGTTAGTTTTTTCAATTAAAAGGGCTGAAATGCGCCTTAAAACCATCATTCAAAAGGCTGAACTGTGCACTCACTGTGCCTTTAATAAGATCAAACATGTATCTAAGATGGCGGACATCTCATTACTTCAAGTGAAAATATTCCAAGAACTAAGCAAGATATGAAAAATCGGTAAAAGAGATTAATATATAGTTTCAAAAGTTCTTTCGAATGAGAAAATAAAAATTTATATTGCCATTTCCCTTCAATAACAAAAGCTTGATTTCTAAAGACCTCAGATTTTTATACACCCGGTGTATTTTATAGCATGTTTGAAAAGTGTTGTTTGTTTTGACAAGACCAGTGTTTCGGTGGCCAGTCGATATATGGACGTGCTTTCTAAATTCTAAATGCTAGATCCCAAATCAATAGTCAATATATAAGAAGGTTAGGAAACTCGATGCAGACATAATAGACCTCATTATCTATGTTTTTGTCTTGGTTTATATGCAAGAAATGGTCGGTTCATTGTCACGTGTGTATTGTATTTTCACTAGAGCAACCAATAACTATGTTTTCATTGTGGAATATCACGAGCTATTGGTTGGTTAGGTAAAAAAAATACACACGTGACGATGAACCGACCATTTCTTGCATAAACAACCAAGATAAAAACAATGTTTCTTTAAACTAGAACAATCGCAACTAGGCATGTGAGTTATCTAGGGTTCTGAATTGGGTAGCAACCATATGGTAGCAACCAATTCACAACTTCAGATGACTGATTATGTAAGCCAAAATTGTTTATAAATCATATAATGTAATTACCACATCAACTGAAGTCTATCATATCACCCAACTCAATCCAATCCAATCCCAGGCATGAATACTGAATGTTCCCTAAATCGTTTTCAGTGAACCACCGTGATTTGATCGACAATGATCTGGCGTTGGCAAACGGTAACGACTTAAGGGTGTATTTCCGAAAAGATGAAGACTGCAGACCAAGAGAACTTGATCGAGTCTTGGAAAATATCACCACAACGAAGACAAGAGTTTTGTTTAAACTTCAAGAAGACTTGAGCGAAACTGTTCGTGATGGATCCGCTTACTACTTGGTTTATGGTAAAGTCATTATACAAATTTATTCGTCAAGATTAACTCTCTGCGCATGCGTAATTCGTCTTGACGGATGAACGTCCGTTTGCTAACACCGCGGAAAAACGTCTGCGCATGCGTCAACCTTACCTGTAAAGTATTGCGAACTTAATGAGAAGCTGTTCCGAACGTTTCCGAAGGCTCAAAATGGCGGTAAAAAGGAGTGACTTCATTGTGCGTCTTTACAGCCAGATTTCGAGCGCAAAAATAAACATGTCATTCTAAAAACTAGGAAAAATACAGCCAGAAGGTTCAAGAAATTGTATCGTACAAGAACATGAACTAAAGGTGATTGTTGACAAATTTATCGTCTGAAACATTTTGTTTATCAACTAAGCAACGACAATTTCCGAATTTTCTTTTGAGATACATTTCTTTAAAAAAAACTGTGTCGCCAAATATAAAAAAAATTCGTGTTCACAATAATTAAACTTTAGGATTTATTCTACAATTTGAGTGGGTTAAGAAGCTTAACTTTTCGAGAGTTTTCTTAACTTTTTAGTTTGAATTTTTGTTTTGAATAATTTTGCAAAAATTTTCGAAGTCGTGTCCATTAAAATCAACAATTTTTTACATGAATTATATTTCATTCCATACTTTAAATACCAGGACGCTTTCAATTAATGTCTAGTCTACCCATTTGCTATATTTTCTCGTTTGTTTTACTAATTTTTGACCAATTAATAAGCATGTTTTTGTTTTAGAAATTGATATTCAAATTCCCCGCCATATTTTCATAATTTGGTGTATGCGCAGACGTTTTTCCGCGGTGTTCCGTTTGCTATGTTTAAACACAGAGGAATTTCAAACGAATCACTTTCAGACCTAACCTATGGGCCTTTGGGATCTCGTTTTACACTTGCAAATTTTTGCTGCGATTTTAGGTGCGATTTCTTATTCTGATGCATGTGAACGAGTAGATGAGTTATATATGTTTCAGCACGAGCTCCAACATGTCCGAATTTACTCACAGAATAAATTCGAGACGCATGTTCAACCCTAACCTAACCCCTAACCTAACCTCATTTCTTCGAATTCTCAATATTATTTCTAAACAAACATCAAAGATTTAATTTCACATAAATTATCATATCAAAACAACCAGAAATTCTGGGTATCATGTGATCAGCCGATCCCAAAGCCATTTTCGCGTAGGCAAAATGCCCTGGGGACGAGGTTGTGTGTGCTATAGGTATTAAATGATTACTTTTGAACATTTGTCGAATTACAATTTCATGCAAACTGCGCAAAAAATACGAAATCCTCAATTCAAATATTTCAAAAAGGCCAAGAGGAGCCTTACAGCACCCCCATGTGCGACATTTAACCATGCATAATATTTTACAGATTCTATATTTTTCCAGGAAACAAAAACGCTGGCAAAGCAAAACAAAATCCAGAAAATGTCTATTTATTCTACGACGATTTCTCCGACTCAAACCTTGAAAAAAAGTGGCAGAAAAACTGGGGCGATATTCGTGTAGAAAACGGTGTGTTGAAATTGAAAACTCGCCAAACACCAACCAGCAATACCGCTGAAATTTCAGTGTTTGTCAAACACGGCCATGAATGGGAAGATATCGAAGTAGAACTAGACTTGAATGAAAGAAATACCGGGCCTAATGTTGCACCTGGGCCATTTCTCAAAGTTCAGGACGCAAGAATTGAAAGCACTACTGCGTGGTGGGTTGAATATGTATCAGGAAGCAAATCGTGTACCATGCGGCCCTTCAACAACAACAAGGATGGAGGTTGGTTATACAGGAAAACCTTAACTAAACCGCTGTCTGCAGGATCATGGTATCACGCTAAATATCGAGTAGTTGGTGACAGGTTTGTAGGAACAGCATTGCACTAATAATTGCTATTTAAAAACTTCCGAATTTGATAAAATGTATCCTCGTTGAGTACCAAACAACTTTATGCATTTGCAATGACATTTAATCAAACGGCTGCCAATACTTGGCCTTTATAGAATATGCATTGTAAAGAACCAGTTTCACTTGTCAGTCTGAAGTGCTTCTTGAATTTTCGGTTCTCAATTGCCTAAATTTTAGGCTGGTGGTTCTTACAGTACACCAAAGAGCCTGGGTACGAGGTTGACAGTACACACGCAAAAGTCTCACATGTCTGCCAACAAGCAGTCTTCGCACTGCTTGTCCCAAGTTGTCAACAAGTTTGGAAATTGGAACAAACTGTTAACAACTTGTAACAAGTCCAATACAGTCATGATATAACAATAATATTTCAACCTTGTGTCATCAACCTTGTACCATTCTTGTTATATCAAAACTGCTTCAAACTTGTTAGAACAACTCTGCTATACAAGTCAGATAATGCCATGAAGCTTGTTACAAGTTGTTAACAGCTTGTTCCAAAACTTGTTACAACAACTGGGAACAAGCAGCGCGAAGACAACTTGCCGACAGCTTGTGAACAGACTTGTAACAACTTGTTTGCAGACCTGTAACAACTTGTTTGCAGACTTGTAACAACTTGTTTGCAGACTTGTAACAACTTGTGCGTTTTTACGTGAGTAATCAACTGGTTCTTTTATGTGGTTTTATCATCAATGCCCACTTACTGGATTTTGAAGTAAGGGCCTGTCCACAAAATATATGCCGTTTTGAGGGATGAAAGTTGGGTACTTATATATATTAAACAAGAGTTACATATTGTCCGAAGGGCGTTAGTGATTATTTATTTCTTTTTTTTTTTTTTTGGGGGGGGGGGGGGTTGACTCAGAGTCACATAATTTTCAAGGTGGGTAATAAAAACGGTAACAAAACGTCATAGGGAGGTTACGGTGGGGGTGGCAAATATCGACAAAAGGGTCATGTATATTTTGTAAAAACCTGTCTAATATAACTATATTTTATAAGGTTTAGCTTATTTTTACCGTCTAGGTTTTCGCACTGGGTGGACAATCAGCTCATTCACGACAATGTAAAGGTTTCCTCACAGTGGATGATTACAAAAGGCACTTTGGGTTTGGGTTGTCATAAGGGTGATACTGGATGTTATACATTTTATGATAACATCAAAACAACAAAATATGTCCCTGATTTGCCAGCTGTATCTCTAGGTAAGTTCCATAGTGTAGGTTGATACTCGAGTTGATAAATACGGACCGTAAGTACGTACGACGCAACGCGACGACGACAGCTAATAACTGACAAACTTCTTGAAATAAATTATTGCATTATGGAAGAAATGTTGTTTGAGGAGATTAAAACAAAGACTTTTTGGTTAAAAACATTTCCGCTGGACAAATTTGTAGTAGCACTTGTCGCGGTTTGAAATGTTTGCGTTGAGTACAAGAGACGTGAAAATCTCTGGGTTGCTGTTGTAAAAAGCGCCAACACATTTTAACACAGTTTTATTTATTTATTTATATCTATACCTCCGAAATTTCGATAAAAATCAAGCTTCCACAGAGGATTGCGGGCTCTGGTTTCGAGATTGATAAAAAAACAAGACGCCCTTTTGTAAAGCGTTATTAAGGTCCAGATTCGACAACGCGACGCGATTTTTTTGTTTTTGAAAGTTAATAGAACAGCCAATGAGAGCAAATTTTGAAAGATATGTAGACCAAATAACTCAAAATGTTATAGTGCTTCTAAATATTTGGAAAATTTAAACTAGGATCAAAGTTATCGGTCAGTGAAAATCGATGAAATCGCGTCGCGTTAACGAATCGCGTCCGGTGTGTCTGGACCTTTAGTGTTCGCATTTCGGCTTACAAATATCGAAAGTTTTACCAAATAAATAAACTCTGCGTCGTCCCCAGTCGCTTGCTCAGTAGAGATCAGTGGCCGACAGAAATCAGTGAGAGACATAATAACAAAGATAGGAAGGGGAGAAAGGCCGAAGCCTCACTTAAATTTTCATAGCGCCCACACACGGTCGAGTGATAACAACGAATAACATTCGTACATCTCTAGGAACTGAATGCAAAGTCGATCTGAAGAGGTTTCATGGGTTGGGCACATCAGAAAAGAATCCTGCAACATCTTGCAAGCAAATACATGATGTGTCGTTGAAAGATGGAAAATTGGACAATGGCATGTATTGGATCAAGACATCCGCTGACCGCTCCCTACGGACTTACTGTGATCTCACAAATGGCGGGTGGACATTGGTGGGAAAGGTCAGCGGTTTCGTCGACAAACTGTACAAGTTTTGGTTGATAAAGAATTATAAGGTGGTGGCATTGAATAGTCCCGCTTTGCCAAGGTATACATATACCTTATATATATGTGTGCCAGAGTGTAGAATAGCTCAGCTAGACTAATTCTAGCTAGAAGGAATGCTCCCTGGAAAATTTTGAAATCTGAGATGGTATTTTCTGTGTTCTGAAGAAGATTTGACGTCAGAACCTATGTTTCGTCATCAGGCGCAGTGAAGAGCTTCTTTTATTTTTATTGTAGCAAAGTTGGCTGTATCGATGCGCGTTACCTAGCAACCTATCACGCGTCAACTGTGATGTTTTCCAGCGGTGATAACCAAAATGGTATCGGTTCAAAGTGGGTGCAATGGCCGCTACCTCAAGGTCGAGAAAGTGACAGCCTCTGGACTCACAGTGTTGGTTTCAACACTGTGTCTAAAGCGAAGATGTATTCTGTCACCGTTAAAGCCTGGAACGGGCAAAAACAGGTTTGATATAAATACTAGATGTAATGCATGTAGATACGTTTCGTTTACTATTCTGGCCCCTTATGGGATCATATCGAGATGTAAAATGAATAACAGCCTTCCTTTCGTTTCATTGGGCCGGGGTATGTCACAAACTAGCATTTCCACATTTTCACAAAACGCCGTGAAGTTTATGATTACAAAATCACTCACCGATTCAACTGCATTGCCGAGCCGACGATATATAGTTACCAACTTTCAGAAAAAGATTTGCAGGAGATTCGGGTTTTAGGTACCTCACATGCTAATGGCATCAACGGTCAAAACTTTTGGCATATAGCGAGGATACGGATAGGATAAAAACTGAAGCATGGGATGTCTTCAGATGCCCCTATATCGCTACTTGTACCGACAAAACACGACAGGAAACCTTGTCCTAATTAACATACTATATGATTTCCAATGCTATTGTTCGATGCTTTTCTGATTCCCCTGGCTGTTTTCCGTCTACATGACATCAAAATACTCGAATTCTATTCATTCATTAATTAAACTCTGAATATGGTATTTCAAAAAGGGCAAGAACGTGCCAGTTTTAAAAATCGCTGGAGAACTCTGTGACATTAATTGGTTGTTTCAACAAAAGTTTCAACATTGCTGGAGCAATGTTGAAACTTGGCATAGATTTCAGCCATTTTTTCCACCATTAAAATAAACATTTCTCTAGCGTTCACACATATTCACATGTGGATAAGATCAAATGTGCTTTACATCAAGTATTACGCTTACCTCACTACATATACTTGCTCAACAGGACTGAACAATGTTTTGCTGCCCACGTTGTTCACACTTGTCAACAATATTGAACAATGTTGTTGAGCCTGAATCGGGTGCAACAATATTGTTCAATATTGTTGACAGCTATGAACAATGTGGGCAGCAAAACATTGTTCAATCCTGTTTTCATCAGTATTGCATCAACCTGAGCGTTTTTACGCGTGTAGACAATTATTTTATCTTTAAAACAATTGTGATATTACTTTCTTAACTGTGTTTATCCTAACCCACCCTGTCAACTTTCCCTGTGGGAAGAAAGCGAAGCACCGGCCAGAGAAAACCCACGACTTTCGGCAGAGCGTTGACCGACTCTTTTCACATAAGTCCGTAGCGAGAGTCGAACCCACGAACTCAGAGGTGAAAGGCGCTTTGCTCTGACAAGTACGCCACTTCTCTTTGGGACTGATAATTCTTGAATATACATATTTTTGCACTCTTCCTAGGTATGCTACCAAAACAAATATGGAATCATGCCTCTACCCCATCATGGTGGTTCCTATCCCTCGGCTACATGTAACACAGCTGGTAATACGCGTGCCAAAGATTACTGCATGGCTGTTGGCGTGCAGAAGAGAGGAACAATTGCTGATGGATGGACTCACAAAGGCGGCACCGGATATGATTCTCCGCAGAGCAATTCTGATTGGCCAAATTCTCAATACACCCACGTATCACCATATGTTACAGTTTGGTTAAAGTGAAAATACAGAAACATCGAGCAGTTTCTTGTTATGTTTAATCAACGTGGACATATATCAACCCATATGTTTTTGCATGCACTTTCAATGTCTATTATACTACCAAAATGTCAATTATTCCAGCATTATAATAAAACTTTTCAAATATAATTTTACGTCTTGTTTTAATTACGACTACTAAATATTTGAAATATATACGAGTACATGTCTTTATGGATTTCAAAGAACGAGAGTCATTTCTGTCTGTCAATCCTGTCAATCCACTCCAGGCGGCCTTCATATTATCATTCCATTGCGGTGCATTTCCACTGCGCATCGCGGTGCATTCCCACTGCGCATCGCGGGGGCAATGCAGCAATCATAGCGCATAGCCTATCGAAGGGAAGGTGACTGTGACACTCATTAGAATAACAATATAACTCATTGTCTATGTTAGTCAACGTCTATTCATAAATACGGTCCTTCACCATCACGGATGTAGTGTATTTTTGCCCAACTAACCAATAGCAATGTTTTAGAAAAGTTACCTATCCGTGACTCGAATAGGGTAAACTGGAAATTGCTATTGGTGGATTTGGCAAAAATACAATACACACGTGACGGTGAAGGACCAGATTTACGAATAAACGTTGACTAACATGAGTTATATTGTTATTTTAATGAGTTTCACAACCATCTTCCCTTCGACAGGCTATGGATTAAGATTATAAATAGATTTAAGCAAGGTTAACAGCAGATGTATTATGATTTCCGTTCGGGGGAAGTCCATGACGTCACAGCCGTCAAGGGGGTTCGTGACGCTCTAATCGGATCAGTTGCCTATTTTTGCCTTGCCTTGTTGCAGCAGCAGGTTGCGCTGATTACCCCTTCGCCAGCCAATTTTTTTAGTTAAACTTTTTAGTTAAACAAGTACAATGTATACATTGTATTTTGTTCACGGACTCGTCAATTGACTTCAATTTAGTAACATACCAAATCCCTCAAAGGATTTGCAAGGGAGTTTTTCATATTTGCCAAGCTAATGAGGAAAATTGCAATCAAATTAGGAACTCTAAAGAGGAACTTTTGACGCAGTCTACCTGTAATGGACGATTCCAGCTGTAGGCTAAATTTTGATCTAAGCAAGAAGAACGAAATCCATCACCACAGGTAGAAAGAGCATGTTAAAATTAGTAAAATCGCAAAGTTTGGCCGCGAAATGTTGTTAAATGCACCACTTTCGGCCCAAAAGTGGTGCATTTTCCCGAGCGTAATACAAATTAATAGAAAATTTTCACATTTCGCGGCCAAACTTTGCAATTTTACTAATTTCAACATGCTCTTTCTAGCTGCGGTGATGGATTTTGTTCTTCTTGCCTAGATTAAAATTTAGTCCATAGCTGGAATTGCCTATTGATCGACACAGTTACAACGACTGAAAACAATGATATTTTTTTTATTAGATTTTATAAGAATGTGGCAGTATATCAGCCCACATTTTCCCACTGTTTACTTTACTAACATTACGGATAGAGTCAAGCACTATTTCTACAAGCACTTTATAATAAAATAAAATCTTCGAAGTATACATGTCCTGTTTTGTATGACATGGGTATAGGCAACGAAATTCAAGTCTGTTTATACAGAAAGAACTCATTTCTCAACTTTTCTTTAGATTTTTTTCGTTCTAGAGATATTTTAGGTCGTTTAATATGCAAACGAACAAATCTATGACGTTTCAGCTCGTAAAATCTTTTCAAAGATGGCAGTCACGCCAAAGTCATAAATAAAGCTCCCTGTTCAAAATAGATGAAATAATTTAAGTATGTATCGATGATTCCATTGACCAATTTGAAAAAATAGTTTTTAGAGTCCTGTGGACTGTCAAAAAGTTTACCCAGCTTGTGACGTCATCTTCTTTACATTCAAATAAACTGAAATATCTTCTTACCAAAGAAAGATATAAAACTGATTTTTGGAAGATACTTATTGTACAGTTTAACACGGTTCGTACATGTCAGGAAGAGTCAAATTCAAGGACTTTTCAAGGACATTCAAGGCCATGTATCAGCAAATTCATCAACTAAATACTGAAGAGAATGGGTTACAAATCAGTAAAATCTGACGTAATTTCAAAACGCAACTTTAATGAGTTTCAAACAGCTTTGTCAGATATGAGCATGCAAAATGAATTCAACAAAATGTCCGTTTTTTAAGTCGAACAATTTCAGAAAATATCCATAAACTAAAAGCAAGAAAAATTTAAGGACTTTCAAGTACTTTACAAATTCAAGGACATTCAAGATTTGTACGAACCCTTGCTTAAGGCGTTCTTTCAGTTTAACATATTTAAATTTTGTTGCCCATCCCTTTAAGTGTCATGCCTTGCTTCAAAGATATTTAATAAATTACATGGTTTGGACCATCTCGTCGGCGACTTTCTCTTCCTCACAGATGGCATGCGAATGAGTAAACTCGCAGCCAAAATATGAAATCGTTTTCGGGAGTGTGCATTTCCAAGACTTTTGCTTCTCACACAGTCCTTAGTCACATCCACCAGATTAAAAAAAAAATCGCAGACAATATTACTGAACTAGGATTTTTGTTACCTTGACAATACCTCCGTCGAATCATCGTACAGAGAGTTCTGGTAAAAATGCTGTGCTGAGTGGTTATATTACTACCTTAAAAAATAAGCAGAAACTCGACGTTTCGAGCGAAAGCCCTTCGTCACTAACTCTTGACGAAGGGCCTTCGCTCGAAACGTCGAGTTTCTGCTTATTTTTTAAGGTAGTAATATAACCACTCAGCACAGCATTTTCACATTGGTACTACCTACACTGGTACAGACAGTTTTAGAGTTCTGGTAGCCGATATTGGCAATAGCAGAACACAAAATTACTTACATTTTTGTATTCGAGCCAAAAGCATATATTACTAAACTTTACCTCTGAAAAACGTTTTTACTGGAAAGCAGTCCTAAACTCGATCGACCTACGGCCCTTGCGCGGCAATATTTACACCGGTTCTGTTCTGTAGACTATGCTAATTCTGACATTTTGACAGCGAAATTCGTTGCGATCCTTTTAAAAAAGTTTAAACATTAATTGTTCAACACTTTGCGTTCCAAAAAATCCGTGGAGATTTGCAATCTCACGTTTTGTCAAATAAGTTTCTTCTCGAAATTCCTTATCCTTCACCATTTCTCGTAAAAAGCACGTCATGATATAAAATGTATATATTTGGTTATGGTATAATCCCGAGCTATTGTTAAATCTTTGCGACGATTCGAAAATTTGTATGAGACTGCTCTATTTTTCCAACCAATTGTTGAATGCTTTGGCTTTGCCGGTGCATGGTGGTTTAATTTAATTACCCGGCTGTTGAATTCTTACAACGTGTTGCAAATGCTTTGCCAAAACATCGCACTCGTCTTCAATGGACATAATGACATCAGAGGCGCTTCCCATTTTGCTGATAGATGCCTTAGCATTCATATGCGTCACCGAGACTGTGATCAAAACGCCTGGATCAACCGTGGTCGCCGTTGCAGGCTGTTGTCCAAAGGAGAAAAACACCTCGTACAGTGGCACGGGTGCTTTGGCCAGTTTATACTCCGCCAAACCAGACAAGAAAAAATTGAAGTCAAAAACTTTCGTCGGTTGCCCACGAACGAGTTGCACTAGATTTGACCCCAGACACCCGCCGCTAGCAAAAACATGAGCCTGACAAAATCTGGTGACCTGGATACTGTTCTGTTGCCACTGAAGTAGCAAACCGCGATTCAATTTATCCATAATTGTTGTCGGGCTTCCTTCTTCCGGGAATCGTATTTGCTCCACTTCTGCTGGGCCATATACAGGCGCGAAACTGTCATTGTAGCCGGGCGCCCGCGTGACGTCGACGCCTGAATACATACGGCAACCGAAGTGGTTTCCAACCACAGTTTCCAAAACTTGTTTCTCATGGTAGAATATTTTAACGCCAACTTGCATAGCTTTAGAAAAAAAAATTATACTCCTTCAAGGGACAGACAATCTTTGGTTGTATAATTTTAAGATAAGCACATTTTCGAGGAGCAAATTACTCTGAAAAAAGCGTACGAAGATTTTTGAGATTAGAAAATCCCGGCAATTTTTCTCGGGATTCTGTTTTTTTTTTCTTTCCAAAATTTAAGGGATTTTCGGATTTTTTTTTCCGATTCTTTTCGAAATATTTTCCCTTATATTTTTCGCCGAATTGATGATGGCTCTGAAATCTAGGCCCTTTGGTTTGATTACAAAAAACCATGTAATTCAGTTCACACTACAAAGCGGCTTATCAATAAACAGATTATTATTACCTTGTGGATCCATTCCAATCATATCACTGATTTCATTGGAATTCAAAGGTGCTGGCACAGGATCTAAATTATGCATTCCTGGGAACCCTCCGCCCGGGAACCCATCCAGGAAGTCATCGGTGTCTAATGAGGACGAGAAATCTTAAATGAAAGAATAGAAAAAAGTAGTACAGTTTCTCGCACTACAACAGTCTGCTGGTATATTATGAATGGTATATAATGTTATTATATATGTAATGTTTACGTTACATTACTCCAAATGACGAGTTTTGTGTCAGGATAAATTTAATAACATCATAGTACTGAACATATACGATTTTATTATATGGCTTTTCAAAATTCTCTATTCTTATTGGTTGACAAGCGGTCCGTAAAAACCCATATCCGGACCGCATGGTCCGTATTTTCCGTATCTGGACCGGTGTCCCGGATGTCGTTTATCTGGCGGGAAATGTTTGCTTTGCAAACAGAAAAAATTATTGCTCTTTAAATTTCCAATTGTGCTTTACAGATAAAAATTTCAAACAACCAAATTGTTTTTGATTGAGCATGCATGCCTACAGTATATTGTTACCCAGTGAAACTGACATAAGCCGATTTAATTCGCGAGAAAAGCATATGCTCACAGACTCAGTTCAGCCATATAATAAACCGATTATTGACCTCGCTTGTTCGGTCTGTACCGTGAAATATCAGACCTCTGTTTTTTGCATAGACCTCGCTCCTTCGTCGCTCGGACCATACTAAAAAACCTCCGTCTGATATTTCACAGTACAGACCTCACGCTCGGTCAATAACTCTTTAATACGAAATTTCTAAAATGTCTTGTTCGAGATTATTGCATGTGTACTTGTACAGGACCACGGTTGAGAATTATTTGTGTTGCTGTTGTTTTTACATGCATCTTCTAAATCGGATGCGCACTCGAGGCTCTGAATTGGCTTACATATATAAAATGCATGGAAAGAAATACTTACTCATGTGTCCGATAGGGTTGTCATTCCACTGTAAAAACGTATATAACTGAAATTAATGTTTGGTTGATAATTGAATTAAAATGATAGTCAAAAAATATTAACTGTTACAATAACTTTAAGAACAACTAATTAATGAAAGAACAATTAATTATTGCGCAAGGATCGTTCTTTATACACGAACAAGATTAAAACCCTCATGCCATTCTCCACAATGAAAGGTCTTCTTTGTCCCATTGAGTGCTAGCAGGGAGAGCCCCTTGACGATTAAATGTCGTCTTTTTTTCCTCTTCTTTTCTTTAACAAAGTAGGGTGCATTAGAGAGAAATGGCACTTAAAGGGTAAAATAAAAAGCCTTTCATAATATTCTGGTTGCTAGACAACAGACAGTCAAAGAGTATGGGGGTACATTATATTGCCTGTCAATGAATTATTCAATACACGTCACACAACACACAAAAATGCAAAATTGACCACTTTGTTACCCATTCTCGATTCGATTCGTATTTATCCTGACCTTAAAACAGTTCGTAACTTCGTAAACCAAAAAAAAACAAACGAGAACTTGAAGAAAAATTTCCAACTGTGAGCTCAGAGCTCAGATGTGATAGCAAACAGTGTCTGGTTATAACATGATAAGGTTCTTTCAGAAAATAAATTTATATCGGAACCGGCTTGTTGCCGGCACGTTTCATCTCATTAAGTGACCTGGTGAATTTACTCGAATGCAACATAACAAACAAATACGTTGCTTACAAATTGCCTGGTATTAAGGCTATTTTTGCCGACCACACTTTCTTTCCAGCGCTTTTGGTCACAAAATTTTCTCCGCCAGTTGTGCACATGATGCTCCGCCATATTGCAATTCATTGAACAAATTTCCGAATCTTTTGAATTTTAAGTTTGCCTGCCAACACTGGCTGTGCGCCATTGGTTCATGTTTAGTAAACTTTCTGATGTTTGAAGGCTCCACCTCACAAAATTAGCTTTAGTTCCTACCAAATGTTTGGTGGTGGAGTTCCTGGAATTTCATCCCACCACAAATCTGTGAGGCGGAGATGCACCCCCCCCCCCCAAATATTTGCATCCCCTCAAAGAGATTCCCAACTTCACCTAGAAAAATTTACACCCCCCCCCCCAAGAAATTTAAATTTTCATTGGATTAAATGTATAATTGAAATAAGGATTTTGAACTAAATAAGACCAAACATTTCCTGGGGCTTTGCCCCCTTATCCCCCAACGCTGTCCCCACTAGCAACTGAAACCCCTGCTGCTTGCTCAGTGGTACTGTGCACCCCCTTCACTTACATCTCCCCTGAATCCCC